TTGTCATTCATTTGCTCATTTGTTCAGTTGTATGTTCTTTTATCCATCCATCCATCCATCCATCCATCCATCCATCCATCCATCCATCCATCCATCCATCCATCCATCCATCCATCCATCCAGTGTGCTCATTACTCCCAGGATTTTCACTTTTACCCAATTTGGGGTAATTGACCCCTGTTCTTCAACCTACGTGCTAGACAGTGCTAATGAGATTCCCAGCACGATAATGCTAGAACACAAAGAGTGATTTTGCAGTACCTCACCAAACTACACATCTAGGGATTGCTTAGGACTGAGCCATTGGCAGTTAAAGTGGGATGAAGCTCCAAGCTGCTATTTGCAGGATAGACTCACTGTCGGAACACACTGGAGCTCTCTTGGACAGAGGATTGTTAAGGTCCTCAGGAAACTACCTAACCCACCATAGCCCTAGGACAGAGCCATGCCCGTTACAATGGAATCAAACTGCTATAACTGTTGAATGTAAACATGTCTTAAGTATCCAGTGAGACTAACTACAATGACTGGTTAACTGCATTTGTTGAGTTCATCCCTTGTGATAGAGTCTTCAAATCAAATCTAATACATTTATTGTTATTGTAAGTACTGTATATACATAGTATACCCATACACCCAGAGACCAGACCCACATGCACTCTCCTTGCTGTTGAGCCTCATGTTATTTATTTTAAATGATTTTGTTCAGCCATCTAAATTTTGCTTTTCTCCTAGAATGTGATATACTCCAAGTGGCTTTTTAAAACTGCATGCTACTTCTGGCAGGTGCCTTGCTCCCTATCTTTCCCGAGGCAGGGTTATCCTATAGAAGTGCAACCTCTGCACACATTAATCATAAAAGGCGGTGGGGCAGCCTTTTATTAGTACTGCCCTATAGAGAAGCATTCTTAGCTCTGTTGTCTCTTTCTAGCAAGCACCTCTGTTTGCAGGAAAAGTTATCTTATGTTTCAGTGATTTTTGAAAGCTGTACCCTCCCACTCCCTCCATCCCCTCAGCTGAGAAGGAACATCTTCCTGGCCCTTCCCATGGTCTTTTTTTCCCCTAATATGGATCCCAAGCATGCTCTCACCTTCACCACCTCTTGGTTGATCTGCTTGGGGTCTCTTTCCACCAAATCAATCTCTCTCGTGAGGGGGTCCTGAGAGGAGTCCATCTTCCCGAGAGTCACTTCTTCTTCTTCTTCTTCGCGCTGGGCCATGGCTCTGGGCCCTTTTTAATGCTTCAGCTCCTTTTGCTTCCAAAGAGCAACAGGCAGTGGGCAGCCAGTTGTCCCTGGCTGTCAGGCCTGTGTGTCTCTCCCCTCTGCCGCTTGCCCACCTGCTAAGTCTTTCATGACTGCTGTTCTCAGACAGAGGAATCTGTTCTGAAAATAGGCTGCCTCAGTGCCAGAATGCGTCGCCCTCGAGGGCAGGGCAGAGTTGTTTTTAGAAGGGCTTAGCATCGTTTTTTTGGAGTAAGGCCCTTTTCTCCCTTTTTTTAGTTCGGAGACCCTAGCGAGTCAAAGGTGGTGACAAATCTCTCTCAACCTCAGTTTTCAAAACTGGAAGTGGACTTGGGGGCATTTCCAGTTCCATGTTTTCCAAGGGGGAAGATGGGCATTGTTGGCAATTCCTAAGGCTCTGGAGAATCGTACAGGGGGCTGGGTCCCTTTTGGGATCGGTGGCATGGAAGGCACTCACTGTGGCTGTTGTTGGGTGGCGCAAGACTAGAGATATGTGTACACATACACATGCATGTACACACGAAAGCATACATTGGGCATACACACAGAGAGGCATACTAACAGAAACACACACACACACAGGCTGGCAGACCAGCGCCGTTACAGGCTTACGTACAGAGAATAACTGCCTATGGCAAGGAGGTAGGCAGGATGGTTGGGGGGTAGCCTGAGGCTGAAGTGGGGCAGTACCCCACTTGCACTGACAGACGGGCCATCACTGGAGGATCCCAGGGGCAGAAAATTGGCTCTGGGCGAAGAGAAACAAAATATTGCTCTCCTAAGATGGCAGGGAAAATTCTTTCTCCCTGACTTTTTCTCCTTCGTGGGCAAAATATCATCTCCTTGAAAGACAGACAGTCGTTCTGTTTGCCCCAGGTTCCAGATGTGCTGGATTATAACTCCCATCATTCCTACCACTACTAGGGCAACAACAGTTGTAGCTCAACATATCTAAAGGGTGCTGGTTTGGGGAAGGCTGCAGTGGTGTTCAAAAGAGCTAAAAGTGGTAAAATGCTTGTTTCCTCAGGACACAGAATAAATGCTGTTCTCTCTCTGCTCCAAATATATATTTGAAGCACTGCAGAAACTATAGCATGTGGGTGAATCTGTGTTCAACAAGAATAGCAGAGTGTGTTTCTGTGTGTAGGCAACAAAACATAAGCATCTTATATCAAGTTCAGATCCCCCCCCCAAAAAAAAGCAGGCATCCAAGCAGACTGTGTTGGGAGGCAGGTGCTTCCTTCATTGACAAGGGGTCAGGTCTATCCAAGCTGATAATAGCCAAATATGCTGTTTCTGAATTTCTGTAAGAAAGGATTTTCCAGTACCAAATACTGAGAAGGGGGTTTCACTTTCTGCCTTCTTTGTAAACTACCAGCAGCATGCTGAGAAAGACAATGGTTAACAGGTTCAGTTCAGTTTTCTTTAGAAATGGGGATTTCTAAAGATGTACTATTTTTAAAGAAAAAACATTGGGGTGTTCAGAGTGATACATGTCTAGAAATCCCTCTCCCTCTTTCCCCGTATCACCTTTCTGTGGGAGGGGTAAAACTGGCTGCAATGGCGGTGGTAGTGAGTAAAGCTCTCTGCACATGCTCAGTTGCTCTCTTCTTCCAAGAACTTAACATGTTTCTAAAGTTGAGATCTGTTAGCCAGAACAAATTGTGAAACCAACGTCTGGTTTGAATAGAATCCAGTTTTTACCTGCATGAACCTGAGGGGATTTTTTTTTTAATGGGAAGAACTAGAATCATCTGCACATTTTTAAAGACTCCTGAAGAAGAAGTGAAGTCATAGGCCATAAAAGAGGCATGTGCCAGCTCTGAGAGTTTAAAATGTCTCGGCCTAATCAAGCCTGACAGAAATACTTTGGCTTGGTGAGCATGAGGGACGAATCTTCATCTCTTCTCCTTCCTCTCTAGCGAATGCTTCTTGTGCTTCTGGCGTATTTTCCCTCCCCAAGGGAGGACACAGAACTGAGCTGAAGTTCTGCTTTGGCCGCAGATCCATTCATGCAGTCATGGAATATCTCTCTGCCTAAGTAAAACAGAATGCATACTAGTAATCTAATCTCACTGGGATATGACAGGATAAGCACAATGAAGACCATAAAGTATGCACCAGTCTAAATCGGGTGTGCTCTGTAAATCACAACCGATGGGTATGTGGGTGGGAAACCAACTGCTCTAAAAGCTGCTGCTACTCCTGCAGCTCTTTGGGTTTACATCTCGCTCACTACAATATGGTGCAGTTTGCCGAGCAGGGCTGGCCCACCATCTGTTGCAGCCAGAGGCAGAGGACCTTCTTCAGACAAGTCAAGGCGGGTGGTATCCAAAGCTAGCAAAGTTATTTTGGCATATGAAGCAGAGAATTCCATAAGCTCCTCTTTCCCCCATCTGGCATAAAAACCCCCCGGTAATAATAAGTAAGTAATAATGGATCCTTCGCTGCTTGCAGGCAGTGTGCCTCACTATGGCTAAGGGCTAGGGTAGTTTGGGGTCAGTGCAGGTAAGGTGTCTCACCTCACCATTTTGGTGTGGGGTACTCCCTGCTCAGGTCACAAGTTGCCTTTGCCAGTTGGGTAGGGCCAGCTCTCTTAGCAGGCCTTTGAGGGAAACCAACAAGAAGTAACCCTGTCAGTAACCTGATGTTTGTCTTTTAGAGAAGTACTGTAAGCTATTTGGATAAGAGTGAAGCTGGCAGAAATGGCTACCATCCCATAATGGAAACTCATGAATTAGGACCGTGACTTGAACCTGGTATCTGGCTAGGCCGGGGTTCTCAGACTTCGGTAACCCAGGTGTTCTTGGAGTGCAATTCCCAGAAACCTTCGCCACCAGTTATACTGCCCGGGGTTTCTGGGAGTTGCAGTCCGAGGACACCTGGTTTACCTATGGTTGGGAACCACTGGGCTAGGGCTGTAGATATCAAGAGCTTCCTTTTCTGTTATGACTGTTGAAAGGAACAGGGCATGTGCGCAGAAGTGAAGAGCCTTTTTCTTGCAAATGGACGTTTTACTCAGAGGCACAGTGAGTTGCACTCTGAAACTGGTTTAATAAACCAGAGCTGAAGATGGTTGTAGCTGGAGCTCAGCATATGGCTGAAGTCTGCAATACTGCTTTTCTGACACTATAGCTTATATAGTTTCTCTGCGTGACAGCCCCTTTCTCTTTCTCTTTCTGTCAGTGGTCCATATGAATCGAAGGTAACTCTACCTCCTTTTTTCCCTTTCTGTACTGCTTACCATATCTAACAGTGCCTTGAAGCAGCAGTTCACTGTTGACGCCCACCTTAATTCCAGTCATGGCTGTTCACACTGTAGTCCCCCTGATGTTTTTGGGTCTCCTCCTTCCCCTTTCTGTACTGCTTACTATATCTAACAATGCCTTGAAGCAGCAATTCTCTGTTGACCCCCACCTTAACCATGCATGGCTATTCACACTGTAGTCCCCCTGATGTTTTTGGGGCACAGCTCCCATCATCCCTTATCATTGCCTAGGTTAAGGTTGAAGGGGGCTGCTGGACAGCTCAGTGGTTTAGATATCTGGCTTGTTTTTGGGGTATCATTGCCTAGGTTGCTTAAGGTTGAAGGGGGCTGCTGGACAGCTCAGTGGTTTAGATATCTGGCTGCAGAGCTAGAGGTTAGGAGTTCAATTCCCTCCTGTGCTTCCTTGACAGGGGTTGGCCTTGATGATCCGTAGGGTCCCTTCTAGCTCTGCAGTTCAAAGATGTTTATTGTTAAACCTGGAATGCAGTACTTTGCAGTCATATGCACTTGATGTGGATCAGGAGCCCTACATGCGCCAGGGGCCACAGGATTCCCACTCACTCCCCACAGCTTCTCTAGTGAGAAATCAACAAAGGCCATGGTGCAAAAGTATGATGGACACTGTAATTGAGCTAAGTCACTTGGAGCCGGGTTAGCCACCACTGACCACCTCTGGTGATACACTGTAATTGAGCTAAGTCACTTGGAGAGCTGTAACTCTGTAGCCAGGGTTAGCCACCACTGACCACCTCTGGTGAGTTACACAGGGGCTGCTACATGAGCGCAAGCTTTAAGGCGCACTGATGACTGCTGCAGGGACAAGACGAGAGCAATAAGGTTATCCAGTGCACTAACTGTCTCTGGCACTGACAGTAAATGTGTAGACTAGAGCTGTACAGTGGCATCCAACCAGCTCACAGGAGTGGCTGGAAGGGGCTGGCATGTACCCGTAACCTTACACTCAGTGCATAGATGCACGCAACAGGCTTACTGCCAGCTAGAGCTTTAAGGGGCACCCTGATGATGAGCACCACCAGCTGCAGCCTGCGGTGTTCCTGGCAGCAGCCACTGCAGCATGCAGAGGAAATGTGGCACTTCAAGGTGTGCTTCCTGGCATTGTGGAGGCATCTGTTTGCCTCTCAGATCTATCTGCACATATTAGGGAGGGATGGAGATTCAAGGGGGAGAGAATGAAATCCTGTGTGCACAGACTTGGAAGCAAGCCGTGTTGAATTTAGGGAGGCATTACTTCTGGTTAAACAAGCAGTTGTTGGGGAGGCAGGAGTGGTCTCTGGCCATGCCTCCTGAGCACCTCAGCCACTCCTCTCTCTCTGGGTCTCTAGCCATGCCTCCTGAGCACCTCAGCCACTCCTCTCTCTTTCTCTCCTGGAAAGCAAACCTGTGACTTATGGTGAGCCCCCAAAGCTAGCATGCAGTCCTCAGGTTTGGTGGAAGACATTCCCATGGCCAGTGTAGGAGATAATTGCTAATCCAGCCCAGTTCAGCTTCTGTATGTGGACTCGGGCAGGAGAAACCTTTATGTCCTTTGCCTCAGGTAAATATGTGGGGCCAGCTTGTGTGTACATCCACCCACTGATCTACACACCTCGTTAAGGCAGACGACTACATAGAGATCCCACCCACTCCCAGCAATGGCCATTGTACCTGGTACACACAAAAAAGGAGAAAAAAATATCAACAAACATCACACAAGAGAAAAACAAACATTTTTGTTTTATTAAAACAGGGGGCAGATCTTTATAAAGGTGTGATAGATAGATAGATAACACTTTATTACAGTCAAAAGACCAGCCACAAATAAAACATCAAAATATATAAATATACGGAAGTATACAAAAATATTGGGATCGAATGCAAAGCAATAATCGGTTCTGAGGTGAACAACAACAGCATCAAAACATCCCCCCTAAAGCCATTCCAAAATGTCTAGCATTGAAGGTGTGTTTCAAAAAGGTAAGATGCTCATCCTCCCAGTTCTCCTGCAGCTCTTCTGGGTGAAATGAGTTACTCCATTTGCTAATCACTCCCCACCATGAAGAAGCCCTGCTCACTGACAGACAGGACAGAGGGTTAATCACAAAAATCTTCTCTTGAAACAGTTCTTGTCTGGGCTGTCTGGGACTGGCTGGAGATATTAACTGGTATAAATAAACCAATTTGAATGTTAGGGAATTGAGGCAGGAAGAGCTGAAACCAAGCCTTTTGTGTTTCTGGATTCCAAACGGGGAGGGAGGAAGGAACACCACAAGCCCCATTTAGAAGTCCTACCTGCAGGTCTGGGCGAAGGTACAGAAGAAAGGGAGTCAAAATACAGTGGTATAGTTTGACACCTCCCTCTGGAGCACCGTTTCCTTCATTCTTCAACCTCTCCCACCCAGTTCCACTTTCCTCACCCAAGTTTAAAAGATCCCTGCCCCAATTCTGTCCTCTTGTGTGAAAACTGAGTTATGTCCAGTTAGTCTCAATGAGATGGAATGAGAAGGGAGTATGGGTAGCGCAGGCTTTTAGGGAGGAGGGGCCATCTCTTGGTGTCACTTCTGAGTAACAGTGAGGTAAATGGCACTGCAGCAACGTCCTAAGCTGGTGCAGAGTGGGGCCACCAGGACATCCAGGATGCTGGCCCACAGGGTACGAACTGGGGGCATTGCCATGGTGCAGAGCTGGATGCAGGGCATCACACACCTGTGAAAAGAAAGTGGGGAGGATTCATCAGAGGTTGGTCGGTCCCACGAGGGCAAATGCAATGCCAGGTTCACTTGTCTCTGTTCCAACTCCAAGGCGAAACCACCCCCAACAGCTTCCCTCCTTTAGGCCTTAATAGGCAGGGCACGCTCTTCACGGCTTTGGCAAGGGAGGCCCAAAACGTTTTTGCAGCCAGAGGCCCAGAGGGGAAAATGGCAGTTCCCTCCAGCCAAAGTCTAAGTGTACAACACCCAAAGATAGCCAAGTTGTTTTGACCCATAAGACATAGAAAATCCCGCAATCACCACCTCTGGCAGTAAAAAGGCAAGAACGACAATCTATTTGCAGCCCTTATGAGACACCCAGAAGCAGCTGCCTGCAAGGGCAAGGGCCAGTTTCTTTCTCTTCCACTCACTAGATATATCGGCTTTTTTATTGTATAATCTGCAGGACATCATCTATTATACCAAACTGTTGAGTACAGACAGTTTTTAATCAGAATTAAGTGATATTTCTGCTCGGACGGCACCACGTTAAGTTGTCCTTTTCTTGAATAGTTTCCCACTTTTAAAAAAGTCCCTACACACGGAAAAATAGCATATCTAGCATAAGATTAGGTTAAATTTTCTCTTCTGACACGGTTTTCTTTGTGCAGTATCAGCAGATTTCATTTCCCCACAGAGGAAAATTTTCATGCAAAAACTTCCCCATTGCATTTGCTTTTTAAAAAAATACTGCATTTGGTTTTGTGATTACATTCATTTTCTATAACTCTCTTTTTTCAACCTCATGGATTTAGTCTTGGTTGCCAACTTTGGTGGCACCAGAACTAGGGCTAATTTCAACCAACTGCTTCTTTGCAGCTGCTGTTACATTTGCCTCAGAGTATTCTCACAGCTATCTGAATAACTCAGTGGTTTAGATATCTGGCCGTTTGGGAGTTTGATTCCACACAATGCCTCCAGTGAGAGCAAGCAGCACAGTCACCATAAGTCAGAGCTGACATGATGGCACACAATGCCTGCAGTGAGAGAAAGCTGCACCGTCCCAGGCTACTCTTCGTGGAGAACTCTCTAACTAGAAAACCTTGGAAAGAGTCACCATAAGTCAGAGCTGACATGATGGGACATCATCATCATCATCATCATCATCATCATCATCATCATCATCATCATCATCATCATCATCATCTATTCTCGATGTATACATTATGTGTGTGCGAGAGAGAGATTACAGGGATGGGGAATAAATTCTCCACAAAAACAGAAACCCAACTGGCTGCGCTAAGGGAGCCACCCTCACAGCAGATTGTGAATGTATGTGTGTGTAAGAGAGTGCAAGCAAGAGAGCGAGAGCGCATACAAACTAGCAATTTTGGCATCAGGGCAAGCAGCAGAAAGTGTGCCCCAAAATCAACTCTATCCTTTACAATGCGAAAATAATACAAGAAATAATTACAGTGCTGACCACCTTGCCATCATCTCCCTTCCCTTGGGGGGGGGGATCTGCAGCACTCTGTGAGTGAAAAAAGCAAACCATATCAACATGAGACCATGTCAGATCTGCCCTTGCAATGAGGTAGGCCTCTTCTGCCCACACAGTCAAGTGAGAGACTAGCCCTCAGACTGGATGCCATGGCTGCCTCCTTGGCCTGCTCTACCAAAACTCAGGCTGAGCTGCTCTCTGCTGCCTAGAGGAAGGCCTGGTCCACCTTTCTTCTGCTCCTTCCGAGGCCTGGTCTGCTAGTTGTTGCAGCTTGCTGTAAACGGGATGCTCTGGAAGCGAGGTCTCGCCCTTTGATCAGACTGCTGGGCCAATCAATCTTGGAAGCCTGTTTGGGGATATCTGCACTGTGGGTGGCCAGGGATGAAGTAGATCCTTGAAATTTGGCACTCAGGGGCAAAGTCACAATTGCCCCTACCTTAGTGATGGCCCTGCCTCTACGTACGTGTGTGAGGAACAGCATGAATGAGAAAACATGGAAGCTACATATCAGCAGTGGGCTAACCTTGGACACTTGGGAGGAAATAAATGTTGGTTGGTGACCCAACAGTCACAGCAGAAGGGAATCAGCTTCTGTAGCTCTTGGGTGCATTTTTCTGCCTGTCAGGACATTGTGGGTTGTCATATTATATGCTAAGCCAGGTTTTACACCTGGATTTGGGGCCCATTTACGTTGCTTTTCTTTCTGCTCATTTCCCCAAATCAGCTAGCACAGCAGCAGCCCTGTCTCTCTACCAACCCTTGCCTTTCCTGCTTCTCTGGCACCAAGAGGGCTCACTTTCCCGGATTCAAGCTTTGGTCCCTGATCCAGAAAGGCACACAATGCTGCTGATTTGACAAACCTATGCATCAAATGCAGGAGCAGATGTTACCTTTATTAGACCACTAAAAAGATCCAACGTGTCCCTTTCTCTAGATACTTTTCCCAGTCCTGTCCAGCAGAGAGCACTGATCCAACGTGTCTCTTTCTCTAGATATTTTTTCCCAGTCCTGTCCAGCAGAGAGCACTGCAGGCATTCCTTTGGATTCCTAGGTGGCTTGGCTAGCCTCTATTTATGGCCAGCAAACAGAGAGAATGGAGGAGGCTGGAAGGAAATCATCTTAAATGGCTGGTTCCCATGCCGTGTGTTCAGGGAACACTTTCCAGGCAGATTTGGGTGCCATGTAGCTGGGAATCAGACACAGGAGGGAAAAGGCTCAGGGCCTTTCACCCTTCAAGCTCTCAGGCTTCTCTCCTTTGTCCTGGATCACCCTTTCTTTCTTATTCTTTTCTCCCACTTATCCCTGTTCCCTCTCCTCCCATCCACTGCCAGTCCTGATGAGGTGGAAAGAGACTGATAAAAGGGCAATCCAAGAGAGGGAATAATCCAGAAAATATTGAGGAGTGGCAGTGGAGATGGAAGAAATCCCTGGATGTACAGGGCCCAGAGGGTGGCGCACGTGAGGGGGCGCAGGACCTCCTCATGGGGTCTGCTCTCCTTCCATTTCCTTGAATGTGTTCTTTCAAGAGGTGCACAGCGGCTGGGCCTCTTAGATTTTCTTGTTGCCTCCTTTTCTCTAAAACGTAACCAACTCTCCCTGAGGCAACCTTTGGCAAGGGGGAAAGATCAACAACAAGTTGCCTTGGCTACCATGATTAATCTAACTTTGGATGTAAAAAGTTCTAGAATTTGTAGGACAACATCTCCCGTTCGCTCTAGTTAGCATAGCCAATGTGAGGGATGATGCGAGTTTTAGTCCAACATCTACTTTAACAAGCATGCTCAAAACCTCACAGGGCCTCAGTTTAAAACTTGCTGCATTAGAATAATGTACCCTACTTTGTTGTTGTTATTGTTGTTGTTCATTGTTCCCACACAGAAGTATTAGAGAGAGACCATTAGCAAGGTGGGCAGTCAATGTCTGTGTGTCTTGCCTGTGGCAACAGGTTAGTCAACGGGCAGATCCAAGGGAGACGTGAAAGGAGAGCAAAGGAAATGGACCCTCACCAGATATGCAGGCAGCCGAGGCAGGCGAAGAGAAAGCCCGAGAACAAGGAGACAGGCACAGCGCACAGCAGGGAGATGATACGGTAGCACCAAAGGCGTGAACTCTCGAAGATGATATCACTCCAGGTCCAAACCCGGTCAAAGCTGCGGAATGAGGAAGGCTCAGCAAGGATGTCAGAGAATTCTAGCTGTGGGAAGGAACGGGAAATCGGGTCACTGAGGATTCGGTTTTGTGATGTATCAAGCGAAGGAGTGGGGAGCCAGGACCCAGGGCCTCTTCCCTCTGTGGCTCAGGCACATAAAATGAACAAGAAACACAGGGCAGAGTTGCACTGCAGACGTGGAAGGTGTTTGGCATCTAGGAGCACAAAACTGCTACCACAGGTGGTGTGGTGTGGGAGGTCAGAGCTGTGCCATTATATCCACGGGTGGACTAGGTGGCTTGGCTGGTGTTATGAGGTGGCAGTTCCCATCCGCCCTCCTGAACCCAGCCATTGGCAAGGGGATAAAAGGAGCTCCAGTCCAACCACACTGGAAGGGCTGCAAGTTGCCCACTCCTGCTTTAGATTTCAGGAGGAAGTGAAAGGCTAGGTCTGCCCAACCAGTTGCAGGTTATTCCGTAGCTCCCTTTGTTACCTTGAGGTGCTGGTTGATCCCACGTGGATCCCGGGAGTCCACTTTGGGTGGGAGGTCAACAATGGCTCCTGAGTCCCGTCTATGAGGATCTTCTGGGTCCAGTTTGCACTCAATCAGATAGTCATCATTGATCATCTTGCCAGGGGGGAAAGGACTCGGGATCACCACTGCAGACACAAGAGGTCCCTCTGCAAGGGAAGCTCAGGAATCCTCTTAAACACCTTCTTACACTTTTTCTCCAGTGCTTCCCCTGTTGTCACATAGGTTCCCTGTGTTTTTGAAATTATGGTCCAATCTGTGTTGGATCTAGTCTTCCGACTTAGTCTCCTCTTGCACAGCCTTCCTCTGTCTGCATGCAGGAATCTGACCCCAGTTCTATTCTCAGCCTTGGCCGATATAGATTTAAGGGCAAGGGAAGTCGAGGAGGGTGGATCTCAGCAATTGCACGCCCCCGCCTAGTATTTTCGTCCATGAAGCAAGCCCACATGTGTTGGGATGGCGGGTATAAATATGGTGCTGCCACTGTCCCAGCGAACCTTTACTGAAGAGTGGAAACAAGGGAAGAAAAGGCCCTGCTAAATATATGCAAGGGCAGAATATTCTTGGAACTGGGAGCAGAAGTGTGTGTGTATGTGTGTGTGTGTGTGTGTGTGTGTGTCCAATAGGATACAGCAGGGAGGCTCAGAGCCAGGTTTGCTAAGTTGGTTTTATATCAATGGCAGCAATAACGAGATTAATTGACATGGGGCACCATCTAGTGGCTATCAATATGGAAATGCCTCCCTTTCAATGGATTGACAGAGAAGACCACCTAATGCACATGGGCAAGCATTTCATCAGGGAAACATACTTTACATCAAATGGCTGAGGTGCCCCACCTGCAATGGGCTAGACTGGTGGACACATATATTTCTGTTTGACTTGGTGGCCATGGATGACCAAAGGTGGCCACCACTGGCTTCCAAGCATCTACATGTGAAGCAGTACAATTTCAAGAGGATTGTGGGGTAGATGGTTGCTACACTTTACAGTATTCTGTCTGCACTCATTTCCCCCAACTGGATGCTCCCCAAATATCTTGGACTACATGTCCTAGTCATTCCTATCAAGCATGGCTGATGGCCAAGGATGGCAGATCTAGGTCTCTGAAAGGCAGCAGGTTGTGATGGCTGATCTTCAGACCTACCCTTGCTCTTCTTTAATAAATGGAGACTGTGTAGAACAGACTTCCCCAAACAGACCTCCTCCAGTTGTATTGGGATATATTCCCCATCTTCCTTAGCCATTGTGGATGCTGGCCATTCATAGGGTCTGAAGAACTTCTCAGGATGCCATGTTTTAGCAAAGCCTACTGCATCAAGCAAATGCTGTTGGGCCACAGCATTTGCTGAATGCCCTGAGGGTGCTTCATGCTGACTTCCCAAAGCCTACATCTTAGTCATGTTAAATAATTTTTGGATCTCTCAGAGTGAGACCTCCGTGAATTCTGTTCCCTTTATATTATACACTTTTGCCTTTGTAATGATCAGTTCTGGAATCTCTCCAAACTGGGACACAGGTTAATTGTCCCCCATCTCATACTCTCTTTTCCCAGTATTGATTTTGTGCACTCTGTTATCGTAGGGCATTTTAGAGTTCCTCATTTATTCACTATAGTATATATTGACATTTTAAGGTCTTCTGCCAAGGCCTTGCAAGGCTGAAATAGATCTGAATGTGAAGAACCACACGACTTCCCCAGAGTCCTAAGCCTCAGGTTTTCATATGGTGGTCTAATTAGATTTGCTACAGCAAAGAAAACGTGTTCGCTCTTGAATCTGGCAGCGAGGCTGACCTACACTGTTGCAGGTTTTATACCAGGAGTGGGAATCTGTGGCCACTTCAGATGTTTTACAGTGCAATTCCTATCACCCTTTATCATTGATGATGCTGACTGAAACTAACGGGAGTAGAAGCCCAAAACATGTGAAGGGCCGAAGGCTTGCCATTCATTGGGATTCAGGGCTTCACAATTTAGTGACACTCTCTTTCTCTTAAGGAGCTTGACATTTGAGGACACAAAGCCGGTGCGTTGGTGGCATGTGAGAGGTTATTGAAAGCTCTTCATAAGAAACTTACATTTTAAACTACTCATTCATCTAATCTATTTCTGGACTGTGAATCCCTACACCCCATCAAAGTGAGCAGGGAAGCCTCCTGTTGTGAGCATGTTTGAGTCCATGGAATTTTGGATGAAGCAATTATAATTTTCACTCATATTCTTCTTGACTGCTTTGGTTTGGAGGTAAATAAGACCGAGAAGCCTCACGCGGCTATGGCTTAGGGCATGGCTGCCTGACTCGGCAGAAGCCATTCAATGATGTACGCTAACTAGCTTTTGTTCTGAAAAACAGGATGGACTTTTACCCTGGATTTACAACAAAAGCTGTTTGTTTTAATGTTGTTTTTGGCAGCACTTAGTTAAGATTTTTGGTACTTGAGGCAGAAAATCCAAATGGAGCCTATTCAGAGACACGAACAGGCACCCCACATACATTAAATACCTTAATTTAAACTGGTCACAATATGTGGGATTCAAGTCCTATTGAAACAAAGCTATATATTTTTGTACATGTCTGTGCTTAAATGAGTTATAAAAATTGCTCCAGTTTATGTGCTGATGAGGTATTATTGCAGTTTTTTTTAAAAAAAATTCTAACATTTCATTTTATTTTATTGATTACATGTCCACCCTTCCATTGGAGTCCATAACTGGCCATCTTCCCATTTATTCTCATAACGACCTTATCAAGTAAGTCAGCCTGGAAGAGAGTGGCTGACCTAAGGTTAACCAGAGATCTTCATGGCTCAGTGGGGTCTTGAACATGATGCTGTCAAGTTCTGGTCCAACAGTTTTAACAACAGCACCACAGTGATTCTTAGGTAAGGGTCCGGCTTGTACAGCCTTTAGAATATGAATTCCTTCTTACTGTTGTAAAAGTTGTTTATTATCTTTTTCAGAAATACCTGGATTGTGGGATCTATTTTATGTAATTCTGCCTGCTGTTTCTTTTGGTCTTTGGTTTATGTGCATTGTATGCTATTATCATTGACTTGTTTCTTTCTTTTTCCCCCCTGTTAAGATATTTTGTGGTCTAACATGGCAGCAAATCCAGAGGTTATCACCTCACACCACAGCAGTTAACATGGCAGAGGTAACCAATGCAGTGGAGAATTCTCCTGCACAAGACACACTGAAATGTGGGTGAATTGAGATAAGAGTGTGATCTTATGTGTCTGAGCTCATAAGATCTACTGTCACCTGTAATAGCGTTCAGAGGTCTGGGAGCTTTCCCTCAGTTTGCTTCTGGGAAGGGCCGTTTCTGATTTTTAAGGTGAACTCCTAATGAGGGTATCTGATAAAGAACCAAATAAAGTTACAGGTTCACAGATAAGGCTGCCGTCTTTCAAATGATAAGCTGGTGCTGTCCAGAAGTGGGCAAGTCCTTGCTTATTTTCAAAAGTCCTCTATAAGCAATCTATACAGACTTCTGCCAGGAACAATCTGCTGGAAAGCTAGGCACATCCAAAGAGATGGAAAGAAGGATTGGAACAAGAAGAGGCAGACATCCCTTTGCGTGGTTTAGGCCCTGCCCAGCACTGGCACAAGGAACTCAAAAGAAGGCTCCCCTGGGAGTGTGACTTCTGACAAAGGAATGATTCCCCCCCTCCCCTTAACTATATCAGGCATTATTTCACCCATTCCCTTGGACCAGTACGAGATTTATGCACAAGCTAAGTAAAGGAGAGACTACATGTTGCGGCGCTGCGGGTTAAACCACAGAAGCCTCTGTGCTGCAGGGTCAAAAGACCAGCAGTTGTAAGATCGAATCCATGTGATGGAGTGAGCTCCCGTCACTTGTCCCAGCTCCTACCAACCTAGCAGTTCGAAAGCAGTTGGCAAGTAGATAAATAGGTACCACCACGGTAGGAGGGTAATAGCATACCATGTCTAGTCGTGCTGACTACGTGACCGTGGAAGATTGTCTTCGGACAAAACACTAGCTCTAGTCTATGGGTTGGAAATGGAGATGAGCATCGCCCCCTAGAGTCGGACACAACTGGACAAATTATCAAGGGGAACCGTTGCCCTTACCTTACATGGTGATTTGCTTCTCAGTTTGTGTCAGATTTGGCACAGATGAAAGCAAATTAAAAACTGGCAACTACATGAAGTAAAGCTAAAAACTGGGAATCTTTTTGTTCAGCTGGCAGGGGTGATTATTTTGCTCTGATTTGGCTGATATCCCTTTTTCCTGCTTTCTGTTCTGGGTGATTGCCTGATCTGATGTGAACGGAGAGTGGCAGGGTGTCAGTTCTCCTCAGAGGTGCACCTGTTGTCTGTAAACAGAATTTCTTTTTTCCCTAATGCTTTCCAAATTTAGTGCTGATTTAGATAAGCACTAGGTCATCTCAGGGGAAAAAAAAATAAATTTACAGTATATTTCATTATATCTAAAGAAATTGCAACACTTCCTCTTATTTCAGCGACAGGTAAGATCCTGTGACAGAGGGTGACACAGTGGCAAACTGGTCATTTTGCTCAACTCATTTGTAACGAGATCACCCTGCTACACCCCTAGAACAGAGTGTGCAAGCAAGTCAAGAGCCAGTCACACCCATTCACAAGTGTTGATCTCGGAATAACCCAAGAGGAACGAAGCAAAGAAAGGGCACAGGCGGGTAAGAGCATTCAAGGAAAAACTGCAGAAGGGGGCAAGGAACCTAGTGGGGCTGGACTCCGTCGGAAGGCGATTGCAACAGGACCCTTGCCCCAGTCTGGAGAGGAAGCAGGCAGAGGCTGGTAGCCTGGGATCCCATGGGCAGGCAAGCTCCTTGTGCAGCTGCCTCCCTGTGTCCCTCTCTTGTCTCAAGAGTTTGCTGCTGCCACTGCTGGTACTGCTCAGAGTTGGAAGAAGAGCCAAAGTGGGGAATGCTGAAGGATTCAGGTGGCAAGCTGCAAAATCCATCTCCTTCATCTTGCAATGCACCTCCCCTGGAGATTTACTCTTTTCTGTGTGAACAAGTACAGTGATTTCAACAATGAAAGCTGCCGGGTAGGCGGTGCATGTAGAAAACACTGAGTCAAGTCAAGTTCATTCCCTAATGTTGTTGCATCTCGAGCTTCCGTTTGTTGTCTGAGGTTATGAACGGTGATGGGGTTATTTGTATTCATATACAAGTACGAATATCCCTGCGCAGCTGGACTTCACGAGGGTCCCCTGGGGCCGGACCATCCACTCGCGCATCTGCCGGTGGCCTCGCTCATCCTTCCAATCGCACCCGGAGCACCTCTCTCTTCCTGCTCGGCTAGCCACTCCAGGGGAGGGAGGATGAGTCTCCATGCACTAATACGAATACCCCCATCTCTAGTTATGAATGACCTCAAAATATGAAAAAAAAACCTTCCAAATTTCAACTTTTAAATAATTGTTTGGGAAATATATATATATTGGTGGCAGTGCTATGGGGCCCCTTAAACCTGACGTGGTTTAGAGCTTTAGCGTGTGTTAAAAGGAAGGTCATTTAGCAGTTTTAAGTGACTGGCTGCGTTCTAGTGAAGCAGGGTGCTCTGTTGTGTTGGACTTCTTCCCACCACATGAGTGCTGGTCACCAAGAGACTGGGGGCACAAGGCTTCTCTTTGCATCAGCTTCCTGGTCCTGTTCAGAACTTAGCCTCTTGCTGGCTGAGGAGAGGGTGTCCCGTCCCAGGGAGGAAGTGGCTGACAGGATGGAGTCTTCATGCAGGGATCCTACATGTCGGCGAGCCAGCCTGGGGCAGAAGATCTGATACAGCTCGCCTGAGATGCTGTTGCTAAAGGTGGCATAGACCCAAGGGTTGGTGCAGCTGTTGAGGCTGGCGACGAGCATCAGGAGGGTGAAGGCTGGGCCTAGAGAAGAACAAAAAAAAAAGGGGGGGGGAATCAATCTAGGCTGTGGGCACAGCGCAGGACTTTCCAGAGTTCAGCCTTGGAATTGATACAGCAATAATACTACCCTGTTTTCCTGAAAATAAGACCTAACCTGAAAATAAGCCCTAGTATGATTTTTCAGGATGCTCATAATATAAGCCCTAGCCCCAAAATAAGCCCCAGTTAAGTGAAACCCCACCCTCCACCATTGTGCAGCAACCAGAAGAAGATGGGATGGCTGTACTTGAATAAATGTAGAGTGTTGTACATGAAAAAAATATATAAAACATTTCCTGAAAATAAGCCCTGATGAGTTTTTTGGAGCAAAAATTAATATAAGACCCTGTCTTATTTTTGGGGAAACACAGTAGTAAACGTAAGAGCATCTCTGAGCATGAAAAGAGTGTAATTCCTTCCCCATGGACAACCACAGAGGATCAAGTCTTCTAGATGACAGAGGTGATTTCCAAAGGATCTTGGGAGCCATACTGTTTTTCTGACTGAAAACTAACCACTCAGGTTGACATAACAGTATTCCCTTGTCCTCTAAATCGTACGAGGCTCTAGAAGAGCTGTTTTATATTATATACTGTTCTTGTTTCAAAATACATATTATTTGCCATTCTTATATTCTGCAGTAGAAACAAACAGTACAGGTCAGTGTAATCCATGCAAATCAACTTATTTTTGCTTAAGTGTGTTCCTAATTATATAGTTTGGACCAAGCATATGAAGAGATTTTTCAGGAATGTTAGTGATTGAGCAATCTGGTGATAAAAGACATGCTTTAGGCAAGGAAGGGATAAATACCAGATTAGCTCAGAGTGTAAACAAAGATTACCCTTTGGCATTACAACTCTCAGAATCCCTGGGAATTCATTGGCTGGAGACATCTGGTAACTGCAGTCCAATTTTTGTTTTAAACTTTTCTTCAGCAATGACAGACCAGGAAGGAACTTCAGGTAGAAAGGGACTCCTGCAGCCCCATAGCCTACATGTGAAATACTCCACAGGACTGAGGCGTACAAGGGCTAGATGGGCAACTGTGCAACCATCTAGAATGCCACAGGGCCAAGGAGGCCTATCAAGATATTTATCCCAGGCAAGCGCACCTTGTGAAGGTGTGCTGAGGCTGGGCTTGGCATCTCATCCACTGGGGGACCTGCAGATTAAGAGCCCAGTTCATTCAGTAATTTTAAGCCACTGATATGGATTGTTCAATGGGTCAGGAGGAGGAGAGAGACTGGCCCCTTTCTTCATGCATTGTCTGCCTGCTACTGCCATTTACCGCTGGGAAAGAGAATGTTTCAAATAACAGCAATTAGAGAAAGGGATTTTTTTTTTAAAAAAATGGGTAAACAGTTCCATGCTCTGGATTGGGTCTCTTGCATTTGACTGAAGAACTGCTGAAGCAAGCATTATCCACTCTGAGCATACTTTTCAAAACTGTGAGTTTAACACTAGTTGCAGTTTCTGTTCCACAGCTGCAAAGGTGAGAAGAAGAATGGAAAAGAACACCACAGTGCCTTAGCTGGCTCTTCTATGTTTTACTGTGGCTGCTGTGGCAGATAAGAAACAGCAAAGAAGATATTTTAATTTGCATTAAGCAGCTTTCCCTAAGTCCATGCCTTCTAGATGTGTTGGACGTCAGCTTTCATCGGCCCGAGTCAGCATTGCCGATGGTAAAGGATGATGGGCCTTGAAGCCAAAAGCTCCTGAACTTGGGATAGACTTGGCATAAGGCATCATGAATGTGCATTCAGCACCAGGTCCTGATCTGTATGAAACCCTGGGCAACCTTTGAGTGCTGGATCTTTCACCATCAGCGCTGGATTTATGCACAAGCCAGGTGCACTTTGAGGCCTCAAATTAGGAAAGGCCTTTAAGTTCGATCAACCCATCCATAAAAATTATTACATTTCAAGTTTTACATAATACACATTTGTGCGGGAAGATCCGCAGCTCATTGGTGAATTGCATGATTGGATGCAGAAGGTTAAACTCTGGTATCACCAGACAGGGCTGCGAAAGACCCCTGCTTGAAACCCGCAAGAGTCAATGTTTACAGTACAAAATGGAGCAATGCCCGGACCCCTCTATAAGTCAGCCTTTTCTCTTCCTTTCTGATCATGCTAAGAGACTTCTTTTAAGTGCGCCAGAGCTCAGAGGCCTCAGCATGTCTTAATATTACCCCACTCACCATTGATGGGTGCCTGAGGGTCCCAGACTGCCCAGAGCTGGACAAGGAAGAAGGGGGACCAGCAGAGGATGTAGGTCAACACAATGACCAGTGTCATCTTGAGAGTCTTGGTTACAGCTCCAGATATAGGGGAGGACCCCTGTTGGCTCCCCCTGCCTGCCAAAGCTCCCTCTGGGCCCAGACGCAGGCTACGGTGGACCTCACAGAAGATCATCCCCTGGCAGGTGGCAATGAAGAGTGTGGGAAGGATGAAGACCATCAGAGTCACCCACGTGACATAGGCCCGGGCTCCCCAGGTCTCAGCAAAAGTGGCCCAGCATTCGTGAGCTCCACTGGGCAGTTCGACTTTCGAGAAAATGAAGAGCTGGGGGAGGCTGAGGAGGAAGGAGGCCGTCCAGGCAGCTGCCACTGGCCGATGCCAGGAATCTGGGCCTCTTCGGAAAGCCAGCATAGGCCGGCAAATGGCGTGGTGGCGGTCATAAGTCATGGCCACAATGATGTAGGAGGAAGCAAACATGCCCACCACTTGCAAGTAGGTGATGGCGCGGCACAAGGCATCCGGGCCCTGGAAGCGGTCGGTGATGTCCCAGATCAGCTGCGGGAGCACTTGGAAAAGAGCCACGGTCAGGTCGGCCAGGCAGAGGTGGCGGATGAAGTGATGCATTGGGGTGACCCGGTGGCCCCGGCGGAAGAGAGCTCCCAGGACCAGCCCGTTGCTCAGTGTGGCCAGCAGGAAGATCGAGGCCAAGATGGCGATTTCGGCTTGAGCCAGAGTATCATCTCGGTCATCAGAAAGAAGGAAGGAGGTGTTAGAGGTGGGGCCAGGTCCCATGGAAGAGGTGTTGGACACCTGGTTCAGAAAAAGGTGAGAAAGGGAAAGGGTATTAGAAGGAAAGTAGGGCATGCATCCCTTAACCCAGGTGCAATGCAGACCGATGTGACGTGTCAGAGGCACATAATGCTACAGAACTTTATGCAGATTTTACTCTTTTTTTTTTTTGGACCACAAGTCCCAGAATCTCCCACCGTCACGGACATCAGCCAAGCAGGCAGAGGTATCTGGGAGCTTGTTTTCCAAAGGAGTAATGATTTCAGACTCTGAAATGATGTGTGATGATATTTTAACAGAAAACAGAAAAACACAGAGCGTCAGGCTGGCTGTCCTTGTGTGCCTGCCAGAAAATGGCTCCAGTGCAGAGGGTTATGACTCACCCGAGGATGGTGAAGGGCTGACTGCTACTGCAGACCTACAGCCTTTGCAGAATGGAGGCGGTACATTCCCACCATAGAATAGTGAAGTCGGAAGGGGCTTATAAGGCCATCAAGTCCAACCCCCTACTCAATGCATCTCTTTGAATGCGCTAAACAGAGGTCATGACTATCCGTTTGGGTGGCTTTTAGCTGTGGGCTTCTCACTTTGGCTAAGAACAGAAGATTGTTAGAGTCCCTTCCAGTGCTACAATGCTGAGATTTCTTGAGATGTTTGTGAAATATGAAGAAATCGTACATTGTTGGATGTCCTGTACAGATCTAACAAGTAAATAAGTAAGTAAGTAAAAGAAGGTTGCCAAGCCACTTTCTTCCTGAGTTGCTGAACATTCTGTCCAACTGTATGTGAGGCAGAAGGCAGACCTAGATCTATTGATAAATCTCTGGGTGATTTGCAGCGAATGAGGGGAGAGTTCTGAGTTCCACTTGTTTTAACGTTAACAACCAAATGACTTTCCCACATCAAATTATAAAGTCAAACAAAGAATGCTTTTGGGATTGTGTGGAAGTAACCAGGATATTTTGTGTGTGTGTGTATGGAAGACGATGAACTATGTTTGCTTCTGGCCCTCAGAACAGCTGTGATAATGAGCGTTCTTTCATTCTGAGTGCATATCTTCTGGTGGACCGGCGGGTTTTGGTTAGGAGTTGTTTGTAGCGTGTATAGTGGGGCACCATGCTGAGTTTGGAGAGGCACTGTGAGTTCCCCAAATAAGGGCAGTCATGTGCCTGATTTTAGAGAGGACAGTGGTCTGTTTGAAGGCTATCTGATGAGGGTCACCCTCACTTTCTCTCTTTGAAGGGCCATCCAACTGGTGTCTGGTTTAAAGAAAGCGAACTATAAGGAGGGAAATGAGAGACTGTGAAGTTGCTCATCACCGGTTGGTATCTAGAAATCAAAACCTCACAGGGAGTTAAGTCACCGAATTGGTTTTCGCCACTCACATGTAAACTTGCTTAAAATATTTAAAAAAACATTTCTCATTATGCATTTCTGTGTATAAATTAAGATACGGTGTTTATTCATAGGGTGTTCTCCGTTTGTTGGTGGAGTACAAAGACCACTATTCCTGGCCAAAATAAAGTAGATCTTGTAAGTCCGGAATCTGGCCACCCTGGTGTTTCTTATGCAAGTGCCATGCGTTGAGTCAGACTGTCAGTCCATCCACACCCATATTGTCTGCTCCACCTGGCAGTGGCTTTCTAAAGTTAGGAAGTGTCTCTCTTCCAGTCCCCACTATTTGTCATTTATCAAACTAGAGATGAACAGACTTGAGATCTTCTGCACACACAAAATAGTACCGTACAAACCTGGGAGCTACTAACCCCATCCTTTGCTTGCATCTCCCTACAACAATCTGCTTCCCCACAGCTTTCCCCTAGATTTAGTTGTTACTCATTTATGCCTATGTTCAATACTGCAAATGCTAAAATTTTCAAAACTATGGTGGCAAATTGGAGAAATATAATTCTTGACCAGACACCATTTTAGTGGTGATGTGGCATGATGGTGTTTGGATGAGTGGAGTATTCCTCATTTGTTTCTGGTTGTAGCCAAAACCCACTGTCTCTGTAGCTTGTTGTATTGCTTCTGCAAGCAGGGTTACAGAAGAGGAAGGGAAGTCAAGATCTGAAGGGTTTTTTTATCATTATCTCTGGGGGAGCAGGTGGAAGGCTAAAAACAGGGAGGGACAGATAGTTGGGTAAGATTCCCTGCTTCTATCAGCTCCTGAAGAGCTAAAACTCAAGATGCTGTTCAGACAGTTACCTTGTCATCCATGATCTTATGTCATCCAGCTGGCTTAGAGCTTCAGTGATGAAACCTCACCATGCCTGCTATCTGTAGAAGAAAGCGATGGACTGGTTCATTCAAACAGATGATGAGTCAATCCTTCTTAAGCGTGACTGTGTGTCTTGTACTCCAAAGTTCTTCTTGCCTGGATTGTAGGGAGTGAAGGCAAAGCAACGCCCACTAAGAATTAGTGAGAAAGGCAATGCAGCATCTTTCACAGCGGGGGAAAAAAGGAGGGGTCCAACTAGCAACAGCTTTTCTCCACCTCCTGGGCCAAACACAGCTGACCTAATTTGATCTGATGGCAAACATATTAGCTTTGCAGGGGCTGGACCTTCCCAAGAATGAATGAGGACCTGCAGGAACAGGAGGGCTGAGCATACAAGAGAAGGGTGTATTCCTGTCCACGGCGCAAATGCTGGTTGTCAAGTAAGTGAACCCTAGAATCATAATATTAACCCAACAGCAACATCAGCATAACTGTATCTCATGCATTTTTTAAAAAAGCTTAACTGTTGCGTATGTGCAAACATGCACATGCCCACACAGTCTAATGCTCCTGAGATCAAGGGATTTCATCTCCAAAGACAATTGCTCTGATCAGTAAACACCACTAATTTCCCAAGGTGAACCTCCATACTTCGTTGCCCTGTGATCTCTGCAGGAAAAGACTAAGGGTGCGATCAGATGGTGATATAAAGATCACATGGGTGTAAACCTAATGAGTGTGAAATGGGTTTGCAAGATAATCTGTACACATGTTAAGTTAAAACGATAACGTAGATCAAAATAAGAATGTAACAATTGGTAAAAGGAATGCCAAGAATGCAGTATATCCTCCTAGGAGATGCACCATACATAGATTACTTACATCTGCTGGAGAAGATACTACGGTAAATACACAACATGTCTCTTTGTGTGTCCAGCCCAGCTAGAAAAAAGCAACAGTCCTGCTGCTGGACCAGAAAGGTCCAGAATGGGCATGAAACAGGGCCAGGCTGATTTGGCATCTCCTGTGTGTTGTCTAGTCACCAGCAAATGGATCAAACCAGACTGTACCACAGACAGTTCAAAAACAAGCTAAATGATTGCATCCTGAGTCAGTACTTCATTTTCTAACTGTTTCTTTTTTGCTTTTTAACAATGGCATAAGAGGCATGGATGCCACAGTAGAGCCTCGCTGGAAAGATAAAGGGGGAATTCCTCACCCACTGAATTTTCTATTTGCTATACTGCGATTCTAGAAAGAAGAGCAAAAAAATAGCAAGGAAACCCTAGCTTGGACACAACCCAGAAATCTTAAATCGTTAAGTAACCCTGCCCCCTCATCCTTTACCTAAAGGAATTTACATCCTTTTCACATCGTTTCACATCTTCTTATCGGAGAAAGGGATATGGGGCAGAGAGATGTTATCACTCTTCTGGATCTGAAAAATCTCACCTCCATTTATACCAGAGAGGGAAATATGCATTTGCTTTGCTTAGCTCTCCTCTCTCTGGCCCCACGTGTTCTAAGGAATGGATGCTTGCAATCTTGCTTTCCTACCTTCTTGGGAACGCTAACACCAAAGCTCAGCTCATAGCCTCCTACTGAGGTGACCAGGTGAAAGAGAGAGCAGGCCTCTCCCAGCTGATGGTTAAAGAGGGAGGGCTATCCACAGGTATGTAGCACATTCTTCAGGGTGAACCTCCTCCTTCTGCCCAATGAAGGGTCCCATGTTCCCCATCCTGTAGCAGAGTTTCCTTGGCAGATGACTAGAAAGTATAGAAAACAGAGGCATTTGTCTAAAAATCCCTAAGTCGCTATGAGCAGATTGGTTTCTAAAGTAGCAAAATACTGTATCTTCTTTCTTTTTTGTTCCTTTTAAAAACTGCAATCAGCTCATAAATTTCTCCTCTGGGACACATCTTGTATCTATCTTCTGTGTTTGGAACACATCTGGTCTCTGAAAGGAGACAAGCTTAGAGCCCAGGCCTTCATTTCCTGTCGCAATGCATCCAGGTGAGTGAAAGGAAGGCGCCTGCAGGTCTGTGTTTGTGGGCTGGCACTCCTAGTATTCTGCCTAGAGAATTCTTGGAGAATTCTGAGATTTGGAGTTTAAAAAAAATGGAATGACACATGCTGAGAGCAAGTTATTTCCCTACTCCTGGTGAATGACCCAGTAGAACTCCCCCAAATTCCCATAAATGGCTTAACTACAGTTTCAGTTAGTCCAACCGTGTATGTTTCCAGTAAGCCAGTGCTTCTTTTCTTTGACCCATACAACACTGTATTTGACACGCAATAAGTAACTTTTATGAATTATTTTTTTTAGTTTCAGCCTTCAAGGTTGGCTTTGCAGCTCCCCCAAACAGAATATAATCTGAAGATGCCGGCCACAGAGACTGGCGAAACGTTAGGAAGAACAACCTTCAGAACATGGCCAAAGAGATTGAAAAACCCACAACAATCAGAATATAATCTCCTTGTATCTACGACACCCATGCCAGCATCTCAAACAACCAAGGATGTCTGCAGGAATGGGTGGTAATGGGAAGCAACCTTGTACGCTATCCTAATCCATTCCATCTCTACAATACACTGTTTCTGCCTGGGTACCCTAAAATAATACATGGAGGGTCCTCTCCCCCAGGCACATCTGCTACCTGCACCACTGGATGTTATCTAGAAACCTCTTGCATTATTTTGCTTAGATGAAGGAAGAACTTTACTGGTGAAATTTGCTTGTCTTCATGAACTGGTAAAAGGCACAGAGAGGCATTTCTTTTTGTTCAGTCTTATCTTTCCCTAGCCAGCACAAGAATAATCCGACTTTAATGTATAGGATAGAAAGAAATTCAACAGGCTAAACTTTCCTCGTGTACTGCTTCTCTGTGGAAAGAGAGTTGCCTTGGGCAAATTTCTGCCTGTCCTTCCATGGTCAGCCAGAGGAGTCCTACCAGGAAAAAAAGAGAAACAGCTACCCTGATGTAAATACTTCTTGAATCTCCAGCCATCTTTCTCCTGCTTTTCTGCAGTTCCAACCCACAAACCCTTTTACACTCTTGTTAGGAACTAGGAGGGGGCAGAGCTGAGTGGGCAGATGGCCAGTTTCTGTGTCAGGTCCTCACTTTATCAGAAGAACATAAATTATGCAATCCACAGTCTTGGCCAACTGACAGACAGGAAACAATTCAGTAAATTGGACTGCAAGTCAGCTCCTCCACCATGTCTCTTTTCTTAACTCTTAGTGTGACAGAACTGTTCTGCTCTATTTCGTGATACTTGTATAAAAGCTGGGGAATGCGTGGTGCTCCAGGTGTTCATGATCTACCACTCCTATCGTTCCTTATAATTAGCTGAGTAGATGGAGAGTCCAACAACATCTGGAGAACCACACTGTATACCCCTACCTTATAGGATCACAAAGCTGCAGATGTTTTACTGCACCGAGAGCTGGCTGCTCTCTGTATCTAAATTCAAAAAGAAAAGCATGTTAGGTTGGCTCTTTCTTCTGAAGGTAGAATTTTCATCTGTTTCCAAGCTGTCACAGAGATGAAAACTCACATGTCAGCAGAATCCTTCTTTTTCAATGGCTCCTCTGCCATTTTATCTTCACAACAACCTTATGACGTAAGCTGCACTGAGAATGATCAGTGCAAAGTTGCTCTGTGAGATTATTGGCTGATTGGTGACCAGAACCTGGATTCTCACACATAGTCTGAAACTCTAAACCCCACTGCCAAACTGGCTTACTGGTTTGTTGTAATAAAAAGCTGCCAAATTAAAGCAAACTTTTAAACTGAGAGTGGCAATTCAAACTTTGCTTTTAGAATGCTGTTGAAGAAGATAGAAATGGAGCATCCTTTAACAGGAGAGACATAAGGACTCATGCCTATATGAAAGCTCTTCTCCTCCCTACCAAGTGTAGGAGACAGTCCTGCAGTTGCTTTGGTGTTAAAATATAGATGCTATGCAAATCACAGAACAACTTTCTATTACGTATACTATACCACTTAGTTTGTTTTTCTATACCTAAAGGATATGGTCCAAGATGAGGAAGCCAAATGGTGGCCATTTCAGCTGGAAAGAATTGCGCAGAAGGCAGAGAACCCTCTCTGCAGGATACCCGGGATTTTTGCTACTTCCCAGAGTGGACAAAATGGGGCAAGATGAACAAATAGTCTGTATAAAGCAGCTTTAAGAGTGACAGGGTGTGGAAAGGACATGTGGTTGGAAGAGGAGGCAGTGCTACTAAATGAGGAGTACATGGACCACCTTCTACAGGACTGGTGAGATTTTTTTTTGGTAAGTGAATTGCTTTGAAGGCCAGCAGGAATTAAGTAAAATATTAGATTTTATATAAATCTTCCTATGGTGACCTGCCAAGATACCTCTGCCGTCCTTATGCCATGTTAGTGATCTGTTTCAGCAGAGGTATGGAAAGATGAAGCTTATGGGCCAAGAGGGAGGTGGCTCCTCAACCCTCAAATCCTCATTTCTACAGGACTGGTGAGATTTTTTTTTTGGTAAGTGAATTGCTTTGAAGGCCAGCAGGAATTAAGTAAAATATTAGATTTTATATAAATCTTCCTATGGTGACCTGCCAAGATACCTCTGCCGTCCTTATGCCATGTTAGTGATCTGTTTCAGCAGAGGTATGGAAAGATGAAGCTTATGGGCCAAGAGGGAGGTGGCTCCTCAACCCTCAAATTTGGAAAAAAAAGGCTCTGCCTTGCTCACAAGCTACTGATGAGTAATGAATATTATGGGCACAGGCTTGAAGGTCATAAGTGGCCTCTGGATCAGACCCCGAGAGACATAGTGTCTCTTCCCAGGACTATCATACTCAAAGTTCTGTTGTTTTCCTCAAGACAATGTGCTGTGATTTTCTACACCAATGTGCTATATTAGCAAGGCTTTGGAGAGGTGTGGGTGCATAAATGATATTAAAGACACAATTCGTGGACTGACCAACTTAGAGATAAAGAACTAGCACTAAAGAGACCTCCGTGAGGAAACCAGGAATATTGAATTTTATTTTCCTGCTGTCACTTTTTGTTTTTGTTATTTTATTTTAGTTGTTAATTTGCATATGGGGGTGGGAGTTTAATTTTTGTAAACTGCCCGTAGTACTGGCTTGCCACTTAGATGGGTGGTATATAAGTGCAATCAGTCTGTCTGTCACTGAGACTTATTGCCAGATCTTGGGGTGGGGGATTTTTCTTAATCTTATCAACCTTGGAGACACATTTATTAGCGAGATGAGAGAGGCCTTTATTGGCAGATAATGCTCTCAGGCTTTGGAACTGCCTGCCAAGGGATGCGGCACTACAGTATTAGCAAGTGTCAAGGCGGTGTCATGGGGCAGAAGACATAGCAGTCAACGATAGGTAGACCAAGGGCAGCAGGCAGAGTCAAGGACAAAATGAACAGGCACATAAACATACATGCAAGCATTCACCCAGGCAGGCAAGCATTGGTTCCTTCAAATGCTGGCTCCTTCCCTCCCCACCATCCCTACAACCGCATTCAGTCACTCACTCAGGAACAGAAAAATACATCTTCCTGTCAAATCAGAAATGCTGCTGATTCCCTGTGTGCCTCCTTTGAAAGCTGGTCAGTTGGCTTCTTCATTCCTGTTCTTTCTCCTGTGGTTAGGAGGCAGGCAGGAGAGGGCTGGCTGGCCCTTTTCCCCATTGGGGAGAATAAACCTCCTACACGTGGGAAGTGAGGTGAAACAGCCCCACGACAGTTCAGCATATTTCATGTAGTCCTTAACACAGAACCAGATGTTGTCTCGGCCAGCCAGTAGGCAGAGTGAAGTAGGTGAGGAGAAATTAAGGGGTCATGAAAGAGCATAAATGGTTAGTCTTTCATTTTTTTTACAGTTTGGAACAGTTGAAGGTGCTTTGTGATTTTCTGTGTCATGCGCTAAATAAGTCAACTGGCTTTTGGTGCTCGGCTCCTTGACCTGAGAGGGAAAGAGATGGCATTTACAGCTCCGTTTTCAGGGTGCCAAATGTCTGCCAGTTGTGCTGTCAGCGAACTTGGCTCCCAAATACTCGTTAATGGTAACTAACCATCTCTTCACCCAAACTGTTTCCTTCTGTGGACTAAATGCTGGTTACATTTAAGAACAAGAAGGGAATGAGGAGAAGATCCATTGGAGAAGTGTGCTGAGGGAGAATTGGCGAGAGGGAGGAGAATGAAAAGACACCCCTTCCCGCCCTTGAATCGTTTCCCCCTGCAATATATTTATTACCCCTCCTGGAAGAAGGACTGGGAAGCCAGCCTCTGGTTCTCGTACCGTGTCCTTCTGCCCTTAGTAGTACTGCAAAATTTTGCAGACAGTAATTTTCCAACTGTTATGGAGGCTTTCAGCAAACAAAAGTTTAAGACCCGATAGCAGATCTGCACA